ATTGTAATAATATAGTAAATGTTTGAAACTTTAATAGTTCTCGAATTGGGAATAAGCGGTGAGTCAAAGAATAAGACTCGGTCAAAGATTAACCCCAACGAAGGAGCTTACATTGAAAATAATAAGCTCGTGACAATTGTTAACAAGTATTGAGCTCATATGAAGATAACAACTTGGATTTTCATTATATATATATATATATATATAATGTGGAAGATGTTTTTAAGTTGATTGTCAATTTCCTTGTGTTAGATTTCGAAACAATTATAACTTTGATTTGATTTGTGATCTTTAAAAGAAATGCAAAAGGCATATTTATTTAGTAATATAATTCTTATAAAATTCACTATCTTTACGAATTTTTTTAGAAATATTAAATTTTATATTTAAAAATATAATTATTATAATTTTACATAATTGATTCTGTACGAATGATGTACAAACATCAAATGCATTTTCAATGTTACAAGAACCAGATCGAATCGGCCTCAAAATTGGTCTGATCATCATATATTAGCTAGATAATTAAAAATCACTAAAAACCATTGACTTGGTCGGTTTAATTGTAAACCAGAAAATCAGAAACGGTTTTATGACCTTTTTTTTACAAAATGTTTTAACTCTCTTTCATGGCATTGTTGAACTTTCGATGTGGGATGTGTAACTACGACTAACAATATTATAATCAACTCACTGGTTGCCATGTTAGCTGCCAGCTTCATTTGTTTGAACTTTGAAGCCTTTATGTTTTGATTTTATTGGAAGTTACATAAAAGTAAAGTAAAAGTATTTTGTATTAATATTAATCATATTATTAATATAATTTAGCACTCAGTTCGATACTAGTTCAACCCTAGTTCGACACTTTAACCTTTGACCCTCTTTCGTCTTCAGATCGATGGGTGGGATGGTTATTAAAACATTGGGTATTTTACTTTCATTACATATTTACTGTATTACTCTTCCAACGTGGTTGCTGTTCATCATATTTAGACAAAGCACTTACTTTGACCACACATTTACTGATGAGTGCTTCAAAATTTAGGATTAAATCCCGGGTTTCAATCTAGGCCGAGGTGGCAAGATCTTCAATCACGCGGGGCCCACGCTATTCACATCGGGGGCCGAGCTCGAAACTCGCAATTTTATCCTTGTTTGAGCAGCAATTTCCTTTACTAAATTATGCTCCCGATGTGGTTACTATTTATCATATTCAGGCAAGCACCTAAATCCTAATGGAAATTCTAATTTATATAGTATTTTTTTTTTTTTATATAATATTTGAAACTCATAGCATATTTGTGATTCATTATAGTGAAAATATTTAACATAAAAAATTCATGATGTCATATGTCGGTATCAACCGATCAAAGGCATTAAGCTCAATCAATGGTGCTTTAGATGACACTCACATGAGCAGAGTTAGGGAAAAACAGGGAAAAAAAAAATTTATACTAAACTAATACAAATGATTACGACCATTGCAATCTATTGTCGAGCTCAATAAATGAGTAACTTCCATTCACGTATCACGATCACTCTATTTCAATTAGGTAATTGTAATTCAATTTTATTCAATCACGTAATGTAATCTAATGTCGTCATTTAAATTAATGAAAATCAATGATTTACAAGTCAATAAATTATGCATGTTATTTAGGGCCTCTTTGTAATGTAATCTAATGTCGTCATTTAAATTAATGAAAATCAATGATTTACATGTCAATAAATTATGCATGTTATTTAGGGTCTGTTTGTGCCCCTTTAATTTCAAAAAGTGTATCGTGAAATAGTGATTGATCTTGAAATGTGTGGTTAAAAAAGAAGGAATAATTTTTTATTTATGTGCAATATTATTTTAATAAAGAATGTGTAGTTGAAAATGAATTCTGTAAAAAAAAATGGCGTTATAGAATGTGATAGAATGATTGACAAACAAAGACTTATTATAACGAAATCGTGCTTTTTTCATGTTAGCAATTAACATTTATGCGTAATAATCATCATTTATTAATTGTCATGTTATCGTTTTCCGTAAGTGAAATTGGTCATAATTAATCTAATTAAAATCAAGATTGAAGAGTACTAAACAACGAAATTTGACATGTGTATGATGGTTAGTGGTGGAAAATTTTAAAGAATTTTTCTCCACGCTCAAAAGGAAAATCATTATGGTTTAGTCTTATTGAAGAATCTAGCTAGCCAACCATTAAAATGAATATTCCGAGTCAAAATTTTAGGGTTTGACACTTTGACTTCTATTAGCAGAGAGCAAGCACGAGCATTCCATCCCAGCTGACAACTTACTGGCACGGGCACGCATATATTGAATTGGGATTCACGTGGGTTGATCGATGTGGTTCAATTTAGTTTTTGAGACGTGAAATAACTAGGTTTATGTGTAGCGATTGTATTGAATTGAATGTTCAATAATTGCATTTTCTCTTCTTGACAAAAATATTTATACAAATTATCAAAATTCGGTCTCCCTTATATAGCCCTGGTTTGAGCCCCATTTTATTATTATATTTTTTTTATAAGAATGTATTTTTGAATAATATATTGATAAAAAATGTGTTATTAAAAAATATGATTTTTTTTTCATTTTGTGTATAATATTATTTATTGAAAAAGGTGTGATTGAAATGATATCAAAATACTGTTTAAAAATGTATTTTTTCTTTTCGAAAGAATGAGATCAAACAGGAGCATAATCAATGATTCAATATATAACATAAAATTTGGAAAAAATTGTAGTTGAGGCTCCAAACCTTTCAAACAGTTCCAGACTTTTCCCTAACCTTTCAATCGTTGCAACCGTCACCCTAAACTTTTCAAATCGTTGCAGCTGAGGCTCCAACGGACGATTTCCATCCAATTTGGTGTTAGTTGACCAAAAAAGTTAATTTTGACCACCTTCTAATCAATTTTAAAAGGGCAAATTAGCACTTTTAAATTTTTCTCATAAAATAATAGAATGTCGAAATGAACCACAAAACTTGTACAGCAACTCAATCCCACTCACTTGCCTAAATCTAGCAATTTCATATCTCAAATAACATCCGTTTAGTTGTACTCTAATAGCAATGGAGTGACCACAAAACTTTTCGGATATTTCAGAGGCTTTTTTCACGCAGTTGGAATTTGAGAGATCGCCTATTCATTGAAAGAGCCCATTAATGGCGAATTGGCTGTCTTCGGATGTGGCTTTGTAAAATTTTGCTGTGGAGATTGGGAGATTAATGTGTCGAAGAGAATTTTAAGCGTTTGCTTGAAAATCCCATTGAAATCTTGGAAATCTTGATTTGCACAGCCTTTGTAAACCAAATCCTCGTAACTTGAACAGGATCCAAAGGTTGGTATTGTTTGTTCATCATTGGGTGCCTAATTTTCGTCTTATAATTGTGAAATCCCACAAAATAGTAACCTCTTATAATAATCAGATTTGGATCCTCTTATAATAATCAGATCTAGAGGGCATCGGCTATAGATCTCGCCTCGTACGTTAACTCCAGCCCGTATGTAGTCCCTTGTTGGAGATCAAAATGGTGGGAAAAGGGAGGGAAAAGAGAGAGGAGAGAGATCCGGCCATGGCAGTGGCCAGGGAAGGTGGCAGGTGGTCGGTGGGAAAGATGAAGATTTACAGCTTTTATGTTTTTCTTTTTTGCTTTTTCTAATTTAATTTTTTAACTTATTTTAATATAGTAAATGGAAAGTTACTATTTTGTTCTTCTAAAATTGATTAGAAGGTGGTTAAAATTAATTTTTTTGGTCAACTAACGCCAAATTAGATGGAAATCGTCCGTTGGGGCCTCGGCTATAACCATTTGAAAGGTTTGGGGTGACGACTGCCACAATTGAAAAGTTAGGAAAAGTCTGCAATTATTTGAAAGGTTTGGGACCTCAGCTGCAATTTTTCCTAAAATTTGGCAAAAGGTCTCCTATTGTAAATCTACTAAGTAGAAATGACTTCTTAATGAATGTAGAGTCTATTTAGGCGCCGTTTGATACACATTAATGTAAAAATGAGAATGAAAAATATAGTTGTTATAGACCCCACACAAGAGATAAAAAGTCAAATATGATGACTTGATATGATGAATAATAGTCATATTTTTTATTTTAATACGCAAATAATGAGAAATAAACGGGGGCTTAATGGTCAATCATGCATCAATTCCGAGCTATTCACTAGCATTCTAATTTCGCGCCTATTTGGGGGACCATCATCTAAAAGGAAAAAAAGAAAAGAAAAAGAAAGAGTTTTGAATAACATTTTTAGGAGAATATTTAGTTAAAAAATAAGAAAAAATTTTGAATTTACATACAAAATATTTTATTACGTGGACGGGTGATTATCTGTAGCAAAAATAGTTTTAAAACAATGGATACCAAACATGGGTTGCTTCTTTATTTCTTACACATTTAGCCCTTGCTTGATTTCCATTATTTTCAAAATGTATTTCTTTCCCTTCTTTTCAATTATAAATAATTCAATAAAATAATATTACACATAAAATAAAATAAAAATTCTTATTTTTTAATCATATACTTTCTATCAATCTACTATTTCAAAAATACATCTTCAATTAAAAAAAAAAAAAACTCAAATACACTCCTTAATGCTAGTACATACATATAAAACAAAAGGTGCTTTCGGAACATGGTCCAGTGGTGCAAAGGATATGAGCGAGGTTATCTCACGACTTACTGGCAGCCGCAGTGTGGGAGTTCGATTCTTGAGACATGAAATTGGACTCCTTGTAGACGCAGTGTACATACAGCTCTTGTTCCCTGACTTGATAGGACACATCCCACGATTTATCTCCCTCGCAAAACTCTAGGGACAAGACAGTGAGGATCTTTAAGGTTGGAATTTAACTTTTATACATATAAAACAAAAGGTGTTTGGTAGCAAGAGATAACGAAATGAGCGAGTGAAAAATGTAGTAGTAAAAGGATAATTAGGTAAAATGAAAGAACGGGGGGGGGGGGGGGATGAGTAGAGGAGAGCAATACTATTACGTACAAAGTGACCAGTCCCTCGCAAGAAAATCTCAAAATCTCGTTTATCGGTCCATCAATTCACGGATATCAAGGAATTTTTATCTTTTTTGCATTTCAATTCAATTTCTCCTTTTCATTCCGAATTTTTAACCTCATTTCCTCTCCATTAATTTACTGTTTCTCGATCTTTGCCTATATTTTTTAATGGGCACTCCACTTCTTTGCTTCCTCTCCAGAGAGAGGGGGACGCCAAAAGGAAACCCTGCGATTTCATACCTTACGATCTTCTTCAATCTCTTAATATTAAATCAAGCCCATGTGAGAAAAAAATATTATATTTCTTTCAATTTGTTATTTAATTTTTTTATCAACCTGAATTTTGCTTATATTTTGATGATATTCTTTTTCATATTCTTTTCGTTGACTGAAATGTATCAATTTTGCATCTCGAGAGCCCGTAAAGTCGTTTTTCTGACATTGGCTTTGCCATTTGTTTGTGCTAAATTTACTTGGATTTTGCCCAATTCTGGTGATAGAAGAGTGGTTAATTTTTTTTAATGCGTATTATATAGTTCGAGGAAAATAATATTTGCTTTCTATTGTGTTAAATGAGAACCAGATTCAATGGGACTGAATCGGGATCCATGTCGGAACTTCTATTGTTTATGTTTTAGCTGGAATACTGGAGTTTTTAATTGTTATATATTGTTTTACTTTAACCTTGGTTCTTGGGCTTATGTTTTGTGTACTCTACTATTTCTTTCTTGACCTTACACGTGTTTCCGTTTTCAATGAAGGGTTTATATTGGACTGGATAACCACTTCAGCATTGCCTAGTACTTCCGAGTTTCGGGACGCAGGGTTTCTGTTTTTTATGGGTTGAGCCCGAGAAATCATGGGTAGCTTCAGTGACGAGGATAAAGAATTTCGATTCTTTGATGCATCAGAGCACATTGCATCAGCTTCCCAGTCTGATTCTGATAATGCTGGGGCTAATAATTGTGAATATGATTTGTGGATTGGGAGTCCTCAAAGTGTTAGGGAGCGTCGTAGGAAATTCATTAGACGGATGGAATTGAGCTTAGATAGGTTAGAAGGAAACAATTCCTTTGATGTACATAATAATGGTAAATGTGGCGTGTTTAGGGAAGATATTGATAGAATAATGGAAAGTAGTGAGTCCGTTCTAAGAAATTCAATTTTTGAAGATGAATTTTCTTCTAGTCATTCTTGTGTATCAAGTTGGTCCACTGGTGTTTTGGATTTAGTAAGAGAAGTGGCTCCAAGTGAAAATTTTATTTGTAGAAACATGAATTTAAATGATGGACGCGAGTGTGATGTTGATAATTTGGTGGAGGATGACAAACGGAGAGCTGTTGGAGTTGCAGGGTTGGACCAAGTGTTGATATCCAAAGAGTTTGACAACATTACTCGACTGACTAATTCAGTTCAGCAACTTCGGGAGAAAGAATTTGAGATCAATGGAAATATTTCGAAAATAATAAATAAAGTAAAAGTTCGCTGGTTGAGTAGATTCCGTTCCTTGACACTCATGATGAGTGGGAATGGGAGAGCTGATAATCCTAGATCCAATTGCCCTAGTCGAGTTCAGGGGACCAAGGTTCAGAGAGTTAGAGTTCGGCATAAACGGAAAATGTTGAAAGAACTCTCTGCACTTGTCACTGGACAAGATATCAAGGCTCATGAAGGGTCAATCCTTACTATAAAATTTAGTCTCGACGGACAATACCTGGCTAGTGCTGGTGAAGATAAAATTGTGCGAATTTGGCAAGTGGTGGAAGATGACAGATCAAGCGATACTGATATTCCAGATGTAGATCAATCTTGCATTTACTTCTCGGTGAACCATCTTTCTGAATTGGAACCTCTCATGAAGGAAGAATATAAAACCAACAAATTGAAGAGTTTAAGGAAACCAAAAGACTCGGCATGTATCATCTTTCCTCCAAAGGTTTTCCGGATTTTGGAGAAGCCATTGCACATATTTGTAGGTCACACTGGAGACATTGTGGATCTTTCTTGGTCGAAAACTAATGTGAGTTTTCGACATGCAATCAAGTAGGTTTTCTTTTGAAATTGCCTGGGAATGAATGGTATTATATATAACTAAGTTTTCTTGCAGTGTCTGCTTTCTTCATCAATTGATAAAACTGTTCGTTTGTGGCGGGTTGGATATGAGCAGTGTCTCAAGGTCTTTCTGCATAGTGATTATGGTGTGTAACCAGTTGCATATAGTGATTTGATAGGATTTGGCTTGTGAAAAAACATTATATCAATGTCTTGACATACTGATTCCTTTTGCTAAAAATGAATTTAATTGTATGCAGTAACCTGCGTTCAATTTAACCCTGTGAATGATGATTACTTCATCAGTGGTTCAATTGATGGAAAAGTTCGGATTTGGACAATCAGCGGTTATCAAGTTATCAACTGGACTGAAATAAGAGACATAGTTACTGCTGTTTCTTATAGGCCTGATGGGCAGGTCTGTTGATTGTCTATCCTTTTACAGATAATTATGATACAGTATTCAAATAGGATTGAAGACGACAATGGATAAGATTTTAACTTCTTCTTCTTCATTTTTATTTTTTTATTTTTTTAATACTGTTGAGTTGTCGCCGATCCGTATAATCAAACATGCCTCAGTATTTTATTGAAACTATGGATTCATAAATTTATAAGACATACTAATGGAATAATTCTCTTTTTGTTGTATAGGGTGGTATTATTGGCTCTATCACAGGCATGTGTCGCTTTTTTAGTATATCAGGTAATTTGTAGAGATTTATAGATTATTATGTATTGTGGCTTAAAATAGTGGTCAATCGCTCTTAAGTCTTATGATGCCATGCAACTTTATGGTTTATTTATCCCTCTGTAATATTTGAAGGTTTTGATTTTGCTCGTGAAGTCCAGATGATTCTCTTACTATTATGCCATAATTTAGCATTGAAATTTAAACTCACTAGTAGGCACTAAACATTGATTATTGATTTTGACTTCTCTCTTTGTAAGGTAATCACTTCCAATTGGAAGAGCAGATGTGCTTGACCAGTAAAAAGAAATCGGCAAGCAAAAGGATAACTGGATTTCAGGTTACCATCAGTTGCCTATCACCCTTCTATTTTAATGAGAAGCTATAAGTACAGTGCAACGAGAGTAAAACCTTTATTTTGATCCAACTCGATTCTTATATGATGCCCCATGAATGCAGTTTGTCCCACAAGACTGGAGCAAAGTGTTGGTCACATGTGCTGATTCACAAATCAGAATTCTTAGCGGGATGAATGTGATTGGGAGATACAAAGGTAAGCAACTAGTGCTTCATTGCATATCCTCAAGGAATAATATGATTTGGGCTCTGGTGAATTTTATTAGTCCTCCCTTATCTTTCTATTTTTTTAGATTAATACCCTGGCTCTGTCTATAGGCCTAGGCGGTGCTGGGAACCAGATTTCTGCTTCATTCACCTCAAGTGGAAAGCACATTATCTCGCTGGCCGAGGATTCTAATGTTTACATCTGGAACTATAATCAGGAATCATGTTCTGCTTCGCAACCCATTAGATCATTCGAGTGTTTCTCGTCTGACGCCTCTGTGGCAATACCTTGGTCTGGCTTAAAGATAGGGAACTTGGAGGACAGATTCAAATCGAGCAAACTCGAGGAGAGTTTAACTAAGTTATCAACTCATTTCTCTTTGGGCCAAGATTTTATCTTGGACTCCAGCCCCAAGGGATCTGCAACTTGGCCTGAGGAAAAGCTACCCACGTCTAGTCTCCGTACTGGGCTGTATCAAATGTGTAAATCTCAATACAAACTTTTCAAGACTTCTTGCCAGAGTTCATCCACTTCGCATGCCTGGGGTCTAGTGATTGTTACTGCAGGAAGGGATGGACGGATTAGATCGTTCTACAATTATGGTTTACCGACCCCCCATTAATATGAGTGCAGGATCACTGCAGAAATCGGATATGATCTATTTTTATGGTCCTCTGTTTATCTATCAATTTGGTCAAGTGCAGCAAGTTCATTGCACAGAAAGTTGATTTTAAAGGGTTAAATTTGTTTACCCGACCCAAAACCATCAACATTGCTGTATCAACGTGGAGGACTAGTCATCCAGTGTCCAAGTTGAGTCGATGAAGTTTGTAATCCAGCAGCTGATTAAAAACTAAGGTATGCACTATTTTCAGTTGGTTACTTCGCTCAATTCAACAATCCCTCGATTTGTTTATTCACGAAGTCTGTTTCTGTTGGACCAGAAAAGAAATGGATTTACACGCGAAGAGCGGCCAATACGAGATGCATTTCTGTATTATGCAGCTTTATGAAGGGTCCCATGTATCTTTGTATAACATCTTTCACTTGGTTATCAGTCATCACAGTGGAACAGAGGAGTGCCCGGCCAGTGGCCCCAATTTATTTTGAGGAAAATGGTGGAGAACGTTTTCTCGTGGCATGTTGGCTGGTCTGATTGATTTTTTGTCTGACCTTTGTAGCATGTTTGGCTGAGCTTATAAGGTTACTTGTTTGAAAATAAATTTTTCTTTATCGAAGTTGAAAAAAAGTATAGACAGTAAAGTAAGAGAAGCAACTTTGAGTATGTTTGGCTCATGTTTATAAGAATACCCGATTTACTTTTTATTCACACATTTTGAGAGAACCACGGGCGCTACTCATTATTTCACCACTCAATTTTATCTATTTATAATTTCTACTGTCTCCAAACACTTTCCAAGCATGCTTTTGTTGCTTAAAAGCAAGTGAAAACAAACTTATTTAAATATGTTCGGAAACCAAGTAACGGTAAATGTAATTTAAATTATTTTTAAGCTTAGCCAAACAAGCTCCCTTGTGTTAGAGTAACCACTAGGATATTTTCTGGTCTAAACTATACTGCGTGAAGCATGGCATGTACAAAACAAAGTTTGTTAACCGTGGCTTGGGAGTGAGCTATTTTCCTCTGGATTGATTACAGTAGGCGTAGCGTTTTCTTCTTCTTATGATTATTAGTTCTGTAAAGAAAAGCTTTTGTTGCTGATATGTAATGTAAGGCTTAATAAGTTGACATTCAAAACAGAGACAACATCCTTTACGAAGAGATTACATTCAATAAGGTCAAATTTCCAAACAGGTGTAAAGAAAGAACAACATATCCAGTTCTTTTCACTGGTAATATGCATCAGTAATATATGTAAACTCTGCAAATAAGACGCCACAGCCATGCTTAATTCATCGACTAGCTTCTTTGATCATTGACTTCACCCTGTCTTTGGGCGGGGGGGGGGGGGGGGGCCAAAAAAAAA